GGAAAAGTAAATCTAAAGCTATTACAAATGGCGCGGGTCCACATCGCCAAAATTAACCAGGACCCGATTTGACAGAAAAAATAAAGAAATTAAAAGTGCGAGAAGTAATTTACACGGCTTCGGGAGAGGTACATAATTATTATAATGAAAATAAAATAAATACGCGAATTAATGAGAAATCAAGAACGAAACGAGGGCGTTGGACCCTTTTGCAAAATATTAAAATTACATGAATTAATTAATTAAGAAAAGAAATTGTTTTTGTTTTTTTGGTATTTTTATGTATTTTAAGATTTAATAGAAAAAAGAAAGAATTAATTAAAATTAAAATAACATGCTAAACCTAATTCTAATTATTTTTAAGTTATTAAGAAAAATATTGAAGTTTTTAACCTAGATGAAACCCTAATTAATTTACAAGTTTATTCATGAAAATAAATATTTAGTTATTTAATTATTTATGACAGAAAAATAAAATAAAAAGGGTGAAAAATTATTAATTAACCTATTTCTACATTTTTTAGATTTTTTTGTTAAAAGTATTAAAATTAACCTAATTAAAAAAACTAAATTTAATTATATGCAAATTTATTTACAAGAAAAATTAAAATAAAATATTTATTATATTTTTTGTCTTTTCTGATTTTTATGATGTTTTTGTATTTTGTAAAAAATAATTAATTAATTTAAACAAATAATAATTAAAAGTAAAAGATTTAAATAAATAAAGAAAATAAAAAAGAGAGAAAAATTTGCAAACCTAGGGGGGTGGTAGTCCCCAAAGTGGAGGTTAAATCCAAGCAATTCTGGCCCAATAAGCATGGCCTTGTTGGACTTTTGCTGGACACGTGCACGTGCGTTGACTTGAGCTCATCATGGTCTTCAGCTCCTGGCCGTTAATCTAGTGCTCTGGGACACGTGGGCGTTGATTTTTGAGCGTGTATGATGATCCTCAACATAAGCGCTGCATAGGAATATTAATGGAAAAATGATATTGGAAAGCATGAAGACCTGGGACTCGAACCCAGGTCTTGGATGTGAACACTCTCAACGCTTGCCAGCTGAACCACTGAAACCTTTTGTTAACTAAATAAACAACAAATAATAAAATGTGAAACTACGCGTTAGTGGATTAAAGCGCGCGAATTTCAAACCAGCGTATCACGTTTTGCCACGACATCATCGTCTTCACCATCCCTGAAATACAAAAACATGAGGCAACGGTTTTATACACGTTTTCTTAAGCATGCTACCAGAAAATAGCGAATAGGTCTAGAGGGTCAATAAATTTGGCGAGATGGTTGGTTCTTGTTCGTCCAAGCTTGCTGGTTTGAATGGTATGGGTCTGGAAAGCTAATTTTTCCTCGTTTCAAAAGCCCTAATCTGAAGTTTGCAAAACCCTAAAACTTGGCAATGGTGAAATCGTGTATACAGCATAAAAATGCAATTAATCATATTGGTTAGCTTAAAAACCTTTCACTGATCATGAATATATAATTAGAATGCCATGAATGTGCGTAAATATTGAAACACGATAATGAAAAAAAATGGAACAAGAGTGACTTCTGTATACCGTTTCAATGCGTTTTGATTGTTGTTTTTGATTGGAATATGATCAGTGATCTCCAGGGAAGCCAATGGAACAAGAATTGTGCTTTGAATCAACCTGTCAAGATGATTTCAGAATTGACTTTTTTAGAGAAAAATTGCAAGTTTGATAATGGCCTTCTTGCGCAGCTTCGTGTCCATTCTCATTAGGGTTGTGATCAGGCATTTGTATTGAGTCTATTAGGTCAAAAAACTTGCTCCAAATCTCTTGCAATCATGGTTTTGAAGATTTGATTTTTCACCATGATTTCCATATCTTTTTTCATGCAATTTTGTGTCAATTAGGATCCAATCAAACCAAATCTTCCCATATTTGAATGTGCACGAATTATTGAGTCTAAAACATGTGCAAAAAGATTTGTTAGATTAAATTAAGTATTTTTCATATATTTAAATGATTTAAATGAATTAATATAAATAAAAATTCAAATAAATAAATAAAAAATGAGAAAATACTTCCCTTTGGGCCAGGTGGTCGTGCACATGCCATGGATGATGAATTATGGAAGAAAAATGGGCCCATTAGCATTTTTAGGTCATTTGGATCAAAGTTGACTTTTAAAAATATCCAAAAATTTCCCAACTTCCACAAGGCATAACTTGCTCAATTTTTAAGCTTTTCTCATGTTCTTGGACATTTTGGAAAGGTCTTTGAGTCCGCTAACCAATGTCTTTGGTCCCATGTCATTTTGATTTACCAATCTCAAGTTATGGCCTTTGACTTAAAGTCCCTTTTTGTTGACTTTTGAAAATGACCTATAATGTTGAAATTGATAACTTTTTGTGAGAGCATTTATTGGACTTGAAGTATGAAGATGAGTTGTAGGAAATGTCTTTCTCTTCAACATGAGCTTTGGATAGAATTTTTCTGATAATCCATGTGAAAGTTATGCCCTGGTCAATTTCAGTTGACTTTTTCAGCTGTCCAAATAAGGAAACTTTTGCATCTTGATGATTTCTGAGCCAAACTTTGAGAGTCATGATCAAGCATTGATCAAATGATGTTTGTGGCTTCAAAATGATATGTTGACCAAAAATTTGAACTTTTGACTGTCAAATGACCATTTTGCCCCTACAGTTGACTGTAGTGCAATTAGGGTTTTTGACTGTGCAATTTTGTACTGAATGCCTTGAAACTTGATATGAGGATGCTTGACCATATTTGTAAACATATGAGACTTTATTGGACCTTTGAAAACTTCATTTTCTTGACCAGAACACAAACCCTAGTTTTGACTGTATGGGAGACCTTTGCACTGTGCAACCCTTGGGGAATTTTGAAGCATGACTTGGCAATTTCCTGAAGAATATGGGAGGGAAAATTTTGGGGTACAACAGCTACCTACTCACTAATAGTAGGATAACACTGTCTAATGGATAGGAGGACAAGAACGAACCTTTTCGAGTATAAAAGTATATAGTTGTTAGATGTTTGCTCAAAAACATTTTGCACTTACACAAAAAACTACTTCTCAAAAACATTTTCAAAACACTTTGTATACTTTCTCCATATTCCCGAGAAACATTACAAAGTCTGCCATACCAAGGCATTTTTAAAACAAACTTTCAAATACACAAAGCACAAAGGTATTTCAAAATGAGCAAGTCTCTAAGAGCACGTAGGTAACTACGGATAGAAAGAGTGTTAACACCTTCCCTTTCCATAATCTACCCCCCTTAGTCAAAAAACTCTCGAAAAGGTCTTTTTCCGTTCTTTTCACCCTTTCCTTAATTTGGATAAAAGAAAATTCGGTGGAGACTCTTGCTTACTGTAGCGATAAAAAATGTAGCGGGGTAAATCGGAGATCGAATTATTAATTAATTCGTCTCCCCAGCAGAGTCGCCATTTCTGTAGCGATAAAAAATGTAGCGGGGTAAATCGGAGATCGAATTATTAATTAATTCGTCTCAAAAAAGCAAGAGTCGCCACCGCGCTTTATTATTTCCAAAGGAAAAGGGGAAAGAGCGAAATAAAACCCTAAAGTATGCAATGTAAAATTACTTTTAAAAGTAATGAAAATACAAGGCGTTTTTGAAAAGAGGTCTAGAGTTCGGGGGTTGGTTATACAATGGGAAGGTATTAGCACCCAATGTATCTATAGTATTCTATAGGAACCTTTTGAAATATCTGTTTATTAAAAAATGTTTGTTTGATTAAAAATAAATTGTTTGGCCAAAGATGGGTATTGGACGAGTTTTCGAAAATACGACGACCTAACGTCGAAGTTTTGACTTAAAAGGTAGGAGTTTTGAAAGGTTGAATATTTTGGGGAAATTATTTTAAGTTTTTTTTTTAACAAAGTAATAAACGGAAGATGAATGAGGGTATTCGCGCTATGTGTTTGATGACATGAAGTCGACAAAATTAAACAATTCCCTTGGATTGAAACGGACGAGAGATGTACGTATTAACGATCAATTAATTAAAATTATAATTAAACAATTAACTAATGAAATTTAAATCATACTAGCATGCATCTTAGCAATTAAATAAATAATCAAAAAGTACATGAAGATTAAATTAAGAAAACATAGATTTTAAATAATTAAACACATGACAAAAATTAAATCATGAAACATATATTTTTGAATAATAAAATAACAACACAAAAATATAATAGAAAAAGTATGTTTTCAAAATTAAATAAAAGGTGGAATTTTGATTAAATGTCTTTATGTGTTTTTATAATAATTATACAGTAAACTAAATTAATAATTAATAAGTATGTTAAATAATATGGCCAAAAGAAATAAAAGATAGAAAATTGTCCCAACAAAGACTTGAACCCAGGACCCTTAGAATGTTGTTAATGCCTTTTGCCAATTGAGTCAATGCTGTTTATTCATTAATAGCACGAATTAGATAAAATATAAGGAAAAACTGAAATTTGAAATTGGACTAAAAAGGCCCAATGGGTCATCCGGGTCAAAGAAGGAAGGAATAGAAAAAAAATTAGAAACCCTAAAGTTGTTGTAATGCGCCGCGCGGCTGCTAGCTGGCATGGGAAAAAACAAAAATTAATTATTATATTTTTATGTTTTGGGAATAGAAAATAATATGTTATTATTATTATGTTTGTTTTCCATAAAATAAAATAAAAAACAAAAAAGGTGAGTTAAAAAGAAAACGCTATCTCTATTCTCCAGGACAAATCCAGATCTCTTCATCTCTCACGCGTAGAACTTCTCTCCTCCATGCCTCACAGAATCAATTCCTTTCTTCCTCCCTCTCATAGATCCGTCCAAACTCTCTTCTTCTCCTCTCTTACAGGAGAAAAAAAAAACCTCTTCCTCTTACTTCTGCAGATTCATTCTTCCTCTCTCTAACGCATCTCAATAGATCTTCAACTGATTATGGTGGTATCATTTGTAACATTTGATTTTGTGTATTGATGTTTGGAAGAAGGAAAGAGTGAGTTTCCTCTGTGTTTCATCATTCTAGCCTTTCCTTTATTCACTTTGCCATTTTTTTATTCTTTAAAAATAAGGGTGGACATGCGTCAGCTTACTATTGGTTTTTGTTGTGTGGTTTGAATAAAAAAAAGCATAGTAAAAGCTTCTTTTTAGATGCATCAGGTGAGAGGGGCGGTGGTGGAGATGGTTGTGTGAGTGATGCGTTTGAAAACGGTTTCAACTCTTTTTGTTTGTTTTTTTTTCAATTCAAGAGATATAATAATTAAATAAATAAAATCTGATTTAATATTTTAAGTAGATTTTGTTTTTTTGTTTTTTAGAACAAACGTTTTTTTTTTTTTAGAACAAAAGGCTTTTTTTTTTATTAGAATAAAAGGTTTTTTTTTATTTTTTTGAACAAATGGATTTTTTTAATTATTTAGATTAAAACAGTAAAAAATACTTTTAGATCTTGATATGGAATAGCAAAATATTTTAAATATTCTAACAAAACATATTTTTTAAATATTGGAACAGTAATATATTTAAAAATAATGTAACAACAACATATTTTCTAGATATATGATATTAGAAAAAAAAGCAAAATACTTTTATGGTTTTGGATAGCAAAATATTTTTTTTAAAATGTAACAGCAACATATATTTTAAAATATATGTAACAGCAACATATTTTGGTTTTTGATATTATAACAAAATGATTTTTTTTGATTATTCAGATTAAATAGTTTTTTTGATTATTCGTATTTTGTAACAGCAAATAAAACAAGCTTTTTTTTTGGACAGCAAGGTATTTTTGGGACAACAAGCATATTTTGGACAACAAAGGTATTTTTGGGACAGCAAGCATATTTTGGACAACAAAGGTATTTTTGGGAAAGCAAGCTCTAAACAAGTTTTTGGGACAGCAAAGGTATTTTTGGGACAGCAAGCTCTAAACAAGTTTTTGGGACAGCAAAGTAAGTTTTTATTACACTTATTATTATTATCAATATTATGAATACTAACATGTTTAAATATTAACATTTATGCAGCAACTCAACTCAAATGTAGTACAACAAAACAACAACAAAAAAATGATACAACAAACATTACATGGCAAAGAAAAATGATGCAATAAATATTACAAACATGAGCATATGCAATAGTAGAGCAAACAGTAGATAGAGAAGAGGAAAAGAGTATACCTATCGGAGCCTCTCCGACGGGGCTTCTATCAAAAATTGGTAAGCTTCCTTGAGTTTGCTATCTTTTCTCTTTGTTGGATTTTTGAATAACACTAATTTTTCTGGTTTTTTTCTACTTGCTGAATTTTCTAGAACAAACAACAATTTTCTGTTTTCTTTTACTGTTGAATTTTTTCTTTTTCTTTTTGTGTTGACAAAAGATCTTATTTATAGTGGAGTGTGGAGAAATTGAGGGGGAAAAACAGTAGAAATTCAAACTATTTTGGCAAACTGCTTCTACACTTTGTTCTCACAAATTGCTTTAGCCATTTTCATACAAATTGCTGTTACATTGATGCAAGTTGGAGCAGGTTTTTGGCAGCACTTGGAGCTGCTGTATGTTGCTGTTTTTTCTGTTTTGTAGCATTTTACAACATTTCTCTTTTGCTGTTTTTTCAGGTTATTTGGAGCATTTTTTGACCAACAAAAATGCAATAAAATGGGCTTGAAGAAAGGTTGCAAACATGGGCTGCACTAGCACTTTGCTGAATTTTTTCATGTTGAACATAAATCTTGTACACACTTGTAGCTTCTTGTAACCTTATGATAAACTCCAATAAATTGTAACATTGAATAAATATGCATTCTTCAATATATTTTCCATTCTTTGGGTAGTTATGAATGATCTTGAATCTCCACATAAACATAAATCTTGATATATGTTGATAAAAATTCAAGATCTTCCATTTAAAATTTGGGAAATAAGTGAATAATATTTGGATGAATTGTTGAATGTTGAATAAATAATAAAGCAAGTCTTGGACTTTAATCTTGCACTTGTAATAGAAATCTAAATAAATCACATGGATTAATTTTGTAACCAAATAAAATTCCTCATGTAATTAAATAGAATTCCCCACTAACTTCTTGAAATAATACTTCAATGTATTTAAATAATCATGATGTAGATCCTCCAAAATAATCACAAGAATAATCTTGAATGAATATTCCATGTGATAAATGAATATCCTTGAATGAAATCTCTTGGATTCAAATAAAGAAAATTCCAAATATTCCGAATAAATTCTTCTAGAACAGTTGTGAATTTAATTATCCCATTTCGATGAAATTCAACCCGCGTCGTGAGAAAATTTGCAGATGACTTTTAGTCCAAGAAATCGAAAATGACGGTATAACCTGTTTTTCTTGTATTTTAGAACAATGCGAAACACACATGAACCAAAGCCGGTAGAATTTTGACTGTTCTTCCTGAAAAATACTCGAAGAAAACAGAGACCATTTGCTGGACATAATGTGGAAATAAACGCACAATTCTCTGAAATTCTTTGATGAACCAGTTCTTTTGGAAATTAATGAACGACATCATTTCTGTTCTGAGACTCAAAATCCTGATCGACGTACAATGTCTAATGCTCTTCTTTCAGACCTATTTTCTGCACATGAAAAATAAAACAGCAAAACATGCACTTCGTGCTTGATTAGTGGTTAGTCATTCATAAAATGCTCACAACACTCGGTAATCTCTACACAGTAAAATCTCAAAGGTGAAACGTTTGAAACCTACCGTATTCTGTGACCTTGATTCGTATGAAAAATAATGTAAATGAAGCAAGGATCTTAGGTCAAAATTGGGGTATGACACTTACCACAACATTTGCAAACACAAACGCAAAAAAAACAGTATATAACAATCAATTCTGCCACCATATCACACACATCTTCATTGAGGAAGAAGCTTCCTGCCAACCTTCTTAATGTCTTTCTATCTTTATTTGACGCACCAATCAGGTATTCCTGAGTCTGGAGAAAATGCTTGATATCATAATACCAAGGTTTCCCATCTGACATTTCCTCTGTTGCAAACACATGAGCCGGTCTATCCAAACATCGCATTGTGATACGAGGCATATCATTCCAAGTATTTACTTGATACATAGAATTCAGAGTTGCTAAAGCATCTGCCATCTGATTTTCATCTATGGGAATATGATGGTGTAACACGGTGGGAGAACTGACTTGGTTGTTTTGCGTTTTATCACAAATGTTGCGGTTTAGAAAGAGTCTCCACCGACTTTTCTTTTATCCAAAAGGAAAGGTGAAAAAGCACAGGAAAGACCTTTGAGATTGTTTCTTGAGTTCGGGGGGTAGATTATGAAAAGGGAAGGTGTTAGCACCCTTTTCATCCATGGTTTTCCATGGGCTCTTAGTTACTTGCTAGATCACTTGCTTTTGTTTGAAAATATGCTTTGTGTGGTTTTTTGAAAGTATTTTGTAAAGGCGCCACCGCTTAGGCAAACTTTGTAATGATTCTCATTCCTAAGAATGTATACAAAGTGTTTGATCTTTTGAAAATGTTTTCAAGTTTGAAAGATGTTTTTGAAAGTGTTGGTGTTTGTTTTGAAAATAGAAAGGATGTTTTTGTTTTGAATTTGAGCAAGTAACTAGGAACATTCTACCTACTCAAAAGTATTTCATGTTCATTTCCTCTTTCCTTTGACATTGTTATCTTACCATCGATTTAGTAAGTAACCCTATCTTTGGATATAAAAGGGACGGGTGTGGGTCATCATATGACCATGATTAGCAATATTGCAAGGTATCTTAGCATTTTTATTTAGGGACTAAGATCATTTTGAAAGGCAACATAGATAGCGTTATCGAGGGGATATGATCTTGTATTTTGCTCGTCTTTGTTAAGATACCCCACATGCGTAATATGGCCATTTTCAAAAGGCAACCAAGTGGATTTACCCTAGGGATGTTTGTGTGCAAGTGTATTGATTTGCATGCATTGTTTTTGTCTTTGATTTGGGTTTTCTATTGATTGGTTTTAGTCTTTCCATACAAAACCCTAATTACTAGCATTTGTATTTGAAAGCGTTAAATTGCGGAAAATAAAATCCTACTCTATTACATCGTTTAGGGGAGAGGGTTTACAAATTCATAAATGGGGATTGCAAGAAATTAAAATCCTAATTATCTATTACAACCATATTGAAATAATATACAAGAAATGTAAAAGGGACTTGTTTTGTTTTTGTTAAGAAGTTAATTTACTTAAGAAAATATTTTGATCTTTTTTTTTGTTCTGAAAGAAATGAAATAAAACATGTAAATATGAAATATTTTTGGTGTTTTTGGTTATTAAAAGCAAAAATAAGATAAACAAGAAAATGGAGTCAGAATCAGCGCATTGATGAAACTAGGAGGAACATAAGTTCTGACTCTGATACGCTACAAGAGAGAAAATGTTAGTAGGCAAGCAGAAGGTCAGAGGTTTTGGGCCTGGGTACACCAAGTTTTAAGGTTGCTGGGAACAAAGGAAAACCTAAAAGCTCTAATTGTTGAGGGGGTTCAGAAGCTGTAGTGTAACTGGGAACCTAGAAGTTCATGTATCGCTGGCAAGTCAGAAGTTCTGGTTATTTGAGAGAGTGAGGTGATAATGTTGTTGGGTAAGGTTGTTTAGAAGTTATGATCTGGGAGTATTGTCTGACAGATAAATGGGTGAAAATGTCAATAAATAAACCTAAAAAAAATCTTCTGGGGTTAGAACCCAGGACCCTTAGCACTAATGTCTTATGCACACGACTTCTACCACTGGGGTGGTTGTACATCCGGTATTAGAAGCAAAAGCATTAACATATAACATAAAGTAAGTAATGATGATGAGCTTCACCTCTTTCTCCTTGCTAATCAGAACATCTGCAACTTAGTCATTTCTCAACAGAACAGAAAACACAAACATAGCAATTATGGCAAGTTTTCCATCATGGTTTCAAAAGTATAAAATATTAGAACTGTAAATTAGAAGTAAGCATGAATTTTGCTAATCCTGATTTTGAGTCCTAGTTTCCTCAAGATGTTCTGAACTGAGATTATCTCTACTTAGGCAAAAATACATGAAATCTGAGTATGTACAGAATCAAAGTCATGATATCTACATTGTATCTTTGAAAATGCAAGCCTAGAAATGCCTAAACAATAAGATACAAGTCAGAGAAAACTTACCTTGCTTCTGGAGATTATTCTGAATTAGAGTATGGTTCAGGCTGTTGTGATATTCTGGTCAGCTTCCTCACGTATTCAGTAGGCTAGAACAGCCCTTGGCTTGGTTTTGAATGGTGAATGGATGATTTGGTCAAGAAACACTTTGAGAAAAGTTTGAGTTTGAATGCAAGAATCAAAAACTAGCAGGTTTTGTGTTTTGTGTGTGCAGTTTAGGATTTATGGGAATTTTAGCAAGGTTTCAAAGTTTTTCTCCTTCAATTTTTCTTACCGGCCTTCATAGTTTTCAATGGAGTTCAATTTATAGGCAAGAACTTTGCAGCTTGGAGAAGTCAAAAGTACTGCCATCATACGCTAGGCGCTGACTTGTTCTTGAAGCAAGTTCAAACAAGTAATTCTAACAGCTTTTAGCCGTGCCTAAGCTGGACTTGTAAGCATGAATTAAGGAAAAGTACCCTCAGAGGCAAAAGCAAAGCATGGGCCCAACATAAACTTGTACAAAATTTTGCTTTTCAAGGACAACAATGGTACTTCTTTCTCACACATGGGGAAATCCTTTGGATAAAAACTCAAAAGTTGTTTTGAGCATTAAATGATGATGAGATTTATCAAACCAGAAATCCTGCGCTATGAGATTTTGCATCATAGCCTAGATCTGAGCCATAAGTTCAGCATCAGTGCAACTTAGAGCAAAACATCCAACTTCTGATCCTTTAATCTTTTCGCTCCAGCGTGTTCTGAAGGAGTTCTCAGACTTTTCTGAAAGTTTGTGACACGCTTTGTAGACTTTATTTAAATTACTTTTGCAAACTCTGGCTGAACATTTGTGAAAATTGGCCCAGAAGTTCTAACCAAAATCTGTCTTGAAAGTGTCCAGAATTTGCTTGAGTATTTCAGTTTCATGGGCGTGTCTTTGAACATTTATAACTTGAAATTCTAGCATTTCCAGGAGAAGTTTTGTTCTGCAATATTTTAGGTTTTATTGAGATCTAAAACTCTTGTGTTAGAAGCTCTTTCAGAATCAACTTGCATCATGGTGGAAATCTGGCCAGAAGTTCTGAACTTGTCATATTTCTTAAACACTTAGAACAAATTCTAAGTATTTAGAATTTTGACTTTTGAATTTCTTGATGAAACAAACTTCATATTTCAACATGTCTTTATTAAATATGATTCTTGAAACTTGATTTTGATCAAAAGTCAAAGTTTGACTTTTCAGTGTGCAAATGACCATTTTGCCCTTGTGCCAATTCCAAGTCTAAATTGATGTGTCAGTACTGCAAACTTGACATCATAGAAGACCTTGTGAGAGAATCCTTGAGAAATGAGAGGGAAAATTTTGGGGTACAACAGCTGCCCCTGTTCAATCTTCTTAAACCTGAAGAGTTAGATTGGTGAGCCCGCCATTCGTGACTTGAAGGTGAAAGATGATTGAACACTAGAGTTCCCAGAAATTTGCACTCGGAGATGGATGGTGAATAGG